GGATTTCAAATCAAGGAAATCAAATTACAGAATTTAGGCTGTTAAAATGGATAATAGCTACAATAATGTTTAACATCTATTAGCAACTATAAGGTTTCATAAACCTGGATAAAAATGAAATAGAGTGAGTTTTTGACCTAAAAAGAGTAGCAAGGTTTAATAGCATCTTTAGGACAACATCAGAAGTATAATGAAGGGCAACTTCAGTTCCAAGACTGGAAAAAAGAGGGCTGAGGTGTTCCCCAGGAAACATCATTGAACAAAGTCCAGCTGTGAGCAGGTGGGTGCAGCTCAGTGTAGGCAACAGGGTGAGATTTACTCCTCCTTGAGTGTTCATTCCTCATTTGAACTTAGAATAGACTCAGCACATCTCTGGGAGTGCAAGAGAGTCAGCTGGGCCATGACCGGTTTACTCATAGAACCAGTGTCACAATAATGATAAATAAAATAAATGATAACTTTTGTATTTTCAACCTGGATGTGATTTTTTAACATCTTCTGGTCAAATCAGGAAGTAATACAGTCTGTTTTATCAGTATATTTTTAAACTTATTCTTAGTGATTTAAATATTTTGCTGCAGTGAAAAAGCCTGAAAACAATTTTGTCCCTATAAGAAGTAAAGCTACTTATGCAAACATATGAAAACTGAAATGAATTAAAGCTTCCATTCCAAAATACAACAGATTCACATTAAAGGTTTTCTAAAAAAAGAAAGTCAGCTTCATGCTGGGGAGGTAAGAAGAAATAATTCACATAGAAATTTTCGTTCAGTGCCCTTTTTAAAGTGGCCGTGCCTGCAATGTGTCATATATACTTGAGGATTCCTGCATTCTCTTGACATGTCTTTACATTGTGAACCTCAAATATGAAATGAATATATTTGTTTCCTCTCATCTGTATTTTTTCATTAAAGAGCTGTGAAAATCTTTCCAAGCGAAAACTGGTTTTAAACTCAGATTTATATCTTAGAAACTTAATTGAGAGAATCACTTATTCTTGTTCACTTTTCTAAACGCAAACTTGATGCCTGTATTTTCCCAGCTTATTTCCAAAATCAGAATTGATCTGATTACTCATAAAAGAAAGCATTTTCAGGAGAGTTTTCTTAATTGCTCTAAAATATAATGTGTCAGGATGAGTAGGCCATTAGTCATTTCCTTCTTCTTTAGCGACCAAGTCTAAGCTTCATGCTAAATAACAAGGTGCTTAACTGATATTTCTTACTGTTAGGTAAGATGGGAAGGAATTTTAATTTTAAAATCTGACTCTTTTCATTTTCTTATCTATAATTATCATTTTACATCATGTCAATCTTAAACTTATATAACTTTAAAAATAGTTAATAAATATTAGATCTTAAATTATATTGCTTAATACTTTAAAATTTAACATATAGGTTCAGTTTTAGGTTTAAGACAATATCAGAATGACATTGGTTTTATATATCCTAAGAGCGCTCCATGACCATGTAGATCTCTATGGCATACTTTCTGGTCTCTTTCATCTGTTCTGGTCTCTGATGGGTGAATTACAGGAGAGTTCTAGAGAAATGACTACCTCCCATTTCCACATCCCAGATGAAGAGAGATTGTGAACAGTGACATTTCCCAGATTTTCTAAAGAGTCTCTAAAGCCCATACATATTTATAAGAAAAACCTGTGTAGGATGGGGGAGGATGCCAAAGTGACACAGTGGTTTTCAGGCCTGGTGGTATTTGAATGGCCAAGACAGCCTTGGAAAGTGTTACATCTATGGGTCAGACCTGAATGAATGGAACCAGTTGCTCATGAGCCTCTGTATATCATCCCAGGCTAAATTTTCTTTCTGTAATAAATAAAATTAACTTCATTTTTCCTAATGATATCACTTTATAAATTAGTGATTCATATGAAAGAATATCCCTGTTATATGAACATATAGTTGAGGAGCTGAGGTCTGAGATTTTATCTAACTTGTTTTTACAATTCTCTGCTCTATCTCTGTAAGTGAATCTTTCCTTGTATTATAACTTTCTTTTACAATTTTTTCCATTGGCATAATCAGACTGAGTTTTTGTTGCAATACTTAGAAACTTTAATATTTAGTGTAGTGCATTTATCAAAAAGAGTGAATATTAAATATTTGCTAATATTTCTTTCCTTTAAGAAAATCTAATAATTATTGGTGCTCATCATTAAAATATAAAGCAAGATTTATACTTGCTTGATAGCTCATTCTACTCACATTTTTTTTTCAAAAAGATTTATTTATATATACAGAACTGGGGTACAGGCCAGAGGTGTGGGGGCAGGAAGCAGATCAGGCAAGACTGACTGAAATACACTCCTGAGGGGAGCAGTGGGTGGGACAGGAGAGGTCTGCCATGCCATGGAGGTCACCCTCCTGGCCAGGATGGAATTCATGCTACAGTGGATATGATAGCTTCATTGTGCTGTGCTTTAACCTGTTGCACCACTAGGGAGGGCCCACATTTGACTCAAACCATAGACTGTGAAAGTGGGACTTTATTCTCTGAACTATTTCAGTGTCCTGATTAAGGTTTTAGATCAGTGTCCTGATTAAGGTTTAGCACTGTACACACACATACCTTCTAGAACTTCAATAATAGCTAAGATTTATGAGCAATTCCTAGGTGCCAAGAACGAACTAAATGCTTGTTCTAAATTATTTATTTAACCTACATTTCTTAATTAAGAATATGAAACTTGGGAGTTTAAGTAACTGCCTAGACTAATACAGCTAGCCTGTAAATACAAAAGCCTGAGAGGATAAAAGCAACTTCCAGAATTATATATTCACAAGTACTTTAAGATGTTAGCAGGCAGTATTTAGCACTGAGCTATTCATTAATATGGTTCACACTTCTTTTTATTAAACAAAGAGTTAGCATTTATGTAGATAAAGTATGCAGGCTCCTAGAAGCTTAATGTCACATATTCATATATAAACTGATACTGTAGACCACATACCGTCATTCATTCTCTGCAGCAAGTGGCTATGAATTCAAAGTGACAAATTATTCTCATAGTAGACTCCCTGTGCCTGGTGGGCTCATATCTGTCCCCTGGGTTCACTAGCACTCTAACCTCTTATTGAACTGGGTCAGGAGAGAAGTGTACACAGTCTGGACAATGGAGAATGGACACATTTAGCTATCAGAATCATTTGTGTTGCACATTTCACCCCATTATTATTATTTTTTTATAAAGTTTTTTTTAAACATTTATTTGTACATACAGAACTGGGGTAGGCCAGAGGCTCAGGGGCGGCGAGAGGCCTCACCAGAGACAGAGTGGGGAACAGAACAGGCAGATCGATGAAGTACACTGCTGAGGGGAGCAGCAGGTGGGCCAGGAGAGGTCTGCCGCACTATGTGGTCACCTCCGGGGTAGGCGGGAATCGAACTCATGCAGAAGTGGCTTAAACTTCTCAGTGCAGTGCTTTAACCTGCTGAGCCACCAGGGAGGGCCATACCCCATTATTTTTATGGCACTCCTAAGGAAAAGCAAGGTTTTCTTAAAGCTATGCCAATTTTCCCATTTTGAGTATTTACTGAGTGTTATATCATTTTTTTTTTTTGGGGAAATTTTCCTTGGGATGCTAATAATGAATGCTAAACTCCTGATAAATTAAAAACAAAGATGACTTAGGGTTTGTTTGCCTTTGTAAAACAGAGGTATACAATAACAAGGGGATTCCATCTCAAAGTATTGGAAATGCTGCAGAGAAACTCCATTGAGGCATGAAGAGAAGCTATTTCAGTTTTCTTGACTTGAGGGCAGGGCACATGAATTCAAAATACAAGATTTCTGCAGGCTTACAGATTTTTAACAATAGGAGTTGATGATCAATGACTGAAAGAAGCATGCTCTAATGCTTTTGGGGGACCAGATCAACTTGACTTTTCATTTTTCATAAAGTCCTCCAGTAAATGCACGTACTCCACTTTTCTCTCCCAGAACAATTATTTTGATTCCAGTGGTTCAGTGGCTTTATGAAATACTTTTCTGAGTGGTAGAAGGAGAAAGTGAAACATGCTGCTCAATGAATGACAGAAATATTCAGGGGTTACAAGTAAATAATAAAAGAAATTTAACATGACTACTAAAATCTAACCCAAGTCTATGTCTCTGGCCATTAGGCATGAATATAATGGTTGCCTGTGTGTGCGGTTTTCTTTTTTTCCCTTATCAAATCTATCTTCATTTCTTGTAAACTTGACTTCTCATCTTCCAACACATTTTGATATTTGACAACAACCATAATGCTGAGCATGCAAAATTCTTTAAGATATTTTAATACATTAGTTGAAGAATAATTTAGTGGCTGAATTAAAAACAAGTTTGCTGATTCTTTGTAAATGTCTAGACATAGTAATTGGTATTCTTATGTCCAACATATTATTATTACAAATGTATTGTGAGTCAGAATGACACTGGCAGAGGAGGAAAGTTAATCTTGCTTAATCTGCTTCAGGATTTCTCAGTTTTGTGTTCAGAGAGAAAGCCCTCCTAGGTGGAATAGGGAAGTAAACCGAAAAGGAAAAAAAAAATAGCTATAGATTTTGAAGACAGATTTGGAGAAAAACAAATAGCTATAGATTTTGAAGACAGATTTGGAGAAAAGAGGAGAAGAAATACTAGAGTAGATTGAAAGGAAAGAATAAAAAAATGAAAAGGCAGACTAGGAACATTGGTTCAAAGAAATTTGACAAACCAAGCTAAGCATGTCTTTACTATGACAGTATAGAAGATAGCTGCATCATTTTTGGCTTTATAAAGAATAAGAAATTTTATATACAACATCAGCTTAATTTCTGAGGTCACAGAGCAGTGGAGGGAAATAAAACGTAGATAGCAATGTTGCTGGAGACCCAGGCATTCAGTAATATGTTATGACTTTGTCTATGAGGTTACATGATTTGAAAACATGACCTCAGAAGGTCTCGTAAATTTGAATTAGAAAACTGAGATTTGAAATATTTAGACATATACTTACCCAACTGACAGGAAAGGCTCCTTTGATTCGAGTCTATGAAAGAAATGTAAATATTAGTTTGAATGTAATAATTTGCTGTACACTTAAAAGTTGTTTTTGTATGAATCTGATGAAATTATTTTACTTATTTGGATGAAAATGTATGATGTAGAACCCATGAAGAGCTATAAATAACATATTAAGATCTCATCTAGACAAATTCAAATTGTGGCTGGATTAATGCAGAAACCAAATAAAATGAGAGACTTGGAATAGGGCTATAGCACTTAAATGACACATTAAGATAATATTGCTAGTCGAATTGATTTATACTCCACTCATTTTTTTTCTTTTTTTTTCTTTTTTTAAAGATTTATTTATTTGTGCATACAGAACTGGGGTATAGGCCAGAGGCTCAGGGGCAGTAAGAGGTTTCACTAGAGACAGAGTGGGGAGCAGAACAGGCAGATCGACAAAGTACACTGCTGAGGGGAGCAGTGGGCGGGTCAGGAGAGGTCTGCCAAGCCATGTGGTCACCTCCGGGGCAGGCGGGAATCAGGAATCGAACTCATGCGGAAGTGGCTTTAGCTTCTCAGTGCAGTGCTTTAACCCACTGCGCCACCAGGGAGGGCCCTCATTTTCTTTTTTTTTTTTTTAACAGTAATTTGTTTGTAGATGTTTTAGTATATCCAGTAGTGAAGAAATATATCATACATTTAGTTTTATATTGGCTGAAAATTTATTTCCAGTAAATTTCTGTATGAAGTGAGACCACTTTGGTCAGGATGGAGTTAAATCACAGCTTCCTCCTAAACCTCTGTGATGCTTATAACTAGGACTTTTGTCTAACTGTTAATATATTAAGGAGAATTCTGATTGTAAACATCTGGTTAGTTGTAGTATTTTGAGCACACTACAGAAAATCCTTCCAATGAGTACTTCTCCCTTCAACTATCTTCCTTCAACATCTCAATAGAAGACTTCAGAGAAGAGCTCAAAGGTTTTTTAAATTTTATTTTAATTGAGTTAATGGTTTATGTTAGTGCTTGCACTTTGAAGGCTCCTGTACCCCCACGCCCACACACCTTTTCTGGTGCTGTTACCACAGCTGGAGCACCGAAGTCCTCATAGTCTACCACTTTGGTTTACTATGCCCCTCTTCATGTCTTCACTTTGTGATCCCTCCTCCACTTACCCTTCTCTCCCCACCCCAATTCAGTTTTATAGCCGCTTTCAAGTACTAGTTTTAGAGGTTGAATTTATCTGGCTCTATAGTCTACATATAAAGTATCCATAACACCATCCAGTGTTTTTTTCTTCCTTCAGACTTATTTCACTTAGCATCATTCCTTCCAGGTCCCTTTTAACACTGCTGGTGGAAATGTAAAGTGAATCAGCTCCTATGGAGCAGTATGGAGGTTTCTCAAAAGATTAAAGATACATCTCCCATATGACCCAGCAATTCCGTTCCTAGGTATCTACTTGGAAACCACAACTACATTAATGCAAAGGTATACTTGCACTCCTATGTTCATTGTAGCACTATCTATAATAGCCAGACTATGGGGACAGCTAAGTACCCCAAAACAGACTAGTGGATCACAAAAGATGTGGTATATATACAGTGCAATACTACTCAGTGGTCAAAAAAGGATGGGCTATTGCTTACTAGTCATTCTAAGACATTGAAGACACACCCTTCACCAGGATTCCCAAGCATTTTTAGTGGTAAAGCAGAGTAGAAAATCTCTTTGGAGAACAACACTCAGACTATCCAAACTCATGTACCATCCTCAGAATGTTGAGAAATTGCAGAGGAAACTTGATAACCAGCACAAATTGAATGATGCTTTGCATTGTAACCAAGAGTTCCAAACAGAGTTTACTTCCCCAACCTTGAGACCATTCAGTGATCCTCATATTTCCTCATTAGTAATATAGTAAACCTTAGAGCTAACTGAAGGAGCTGCTGTGAATAACATGGGATTAGGGATTATGCATTTACAGCAATTTGTAGGTTCACCCTCACTGCCAATGCTATGCCAAAGATAGTGTTATCCCCCAAGGCTGGGCCTCCTTGAATATATAAAAACCTCACTTTTGTAATTTTAGTCCTGAAAGTAAAAAAAAAAAATGTAAAAGGAGAAAACTTCTAGGAGCAAATCCCTTTGGAGAAGAGTGTTTATCAATTGAATCCTTAGAAACAGATGATTACATTGTGATATGCCCAGAGAGAACTTTTCTCAGTATGTTTATTTTTTTGTAAGGTAATTGTTTTGTGAAGAAAAGGATTGATTTTATCTTTCCAAGATTTACTTTTAACATGAAATAGGCAGTGAATTTAATAATTCTTCATTGGGGACTCACTAGAATTAGAAGATAAACAAACCATAGCCTTCAGAAAAATAAGAAATAGTAAAGTTATAAAATAGAGGATGAAATGAAGATGATTATTTAGAACTAAAGGATTTATATTTGTATTTAACAAAACAAACAAAAACTAAGCTATATTTATGAAGGGCCAGAGTATTAAAAATGCTGTAGGCTTTGATTTAAATATTATAACTTCCAAAGTTGATCTCACTTTACAAATGAAGAAACTGATGTCCAAAGAAATCTAAGTATTTTGCCTGAGGTCACACAGCTAAAAAGTGACTGAGCTAGGATTTGAATTCAGCCACCCTAGCTTCACAGTTCATGCCTCAGGTCTCCCATGGTACCCTGCTCTCATCAATCTGTTTGTTTTGTTCACATGTGCCTTATGGCACTATCACACTTCATTTTTTTAAAAATATTTTCTGTGTTCTACCCAGAAAACATATATTTTCAAATGTTGGCGAAATTCTAGATATTTCCAAATACATATCTCTAATCATTCTATTTATAACATGTGACTAAATTGACCACCGTACATCTCAAATGGTAGGTGCCTATAAATGAACATGTCCCAAATTAAATTCACTATCTTCTTCCCTCACTCTGTTCTTTCCTCTTTATCCCTAATTCAATGGTACATTCATGGAATTAAATTAGAAAGATTAGAATCTTTCAGTAGATCCAGTTTTGTCATTTCTGTTGTCAAGTTTCCTCTTTTTTTCTGTTCTGACCTCTCAGTTTTTATTATCACAGTTCAAGTGATCAACTTATATAGGGGCTATCAGAATAATTTCTCCAATGACCTTCCTTTTTTAGGGGTGGTGGTGGTGGTATGGTCATCTCTAAGAGCAGAGCAGGATCATCTTTCTGAAATAATTTTTTCATCATGCAATTCTCTTTATTATAAAATTCTGAGGGCTTACAGGAAGTATTTTCTTTTAAGGCAACAGGGGCTGATCAGGAGTAATTCATGACTGTTCCCACAGCATATCCTGTGACACTTAATCATGGCATATTAAAATTGATAGTCTATTTTTCAAGTTCCCCACTATGAGTGTATACTTTTTAAAAGTAGGACCTCACTATATTTTCACTGTATTTCAAGTACCTAGAATCATACCCTCATCATAGGAGGCTTTCAGTAATTTTTTCAGGTGAACTTTGTTTTTTTCACCCCTGCCCCTTTACTTCCATTATTTGCTTACAGAATAAAGCCCCAAAATTTCAATATAACTAAGAATTCCTTCCCAGTCCTTTTCTTCTACTACTTAACCTTGCAAATTTTATACTCCAGTCAGGGTGAACAAGAAGCTCAGTACCTGAGTGACATCTTGCTGGCTCACATCCCTATGCTTTGACATATGCATCATTTGCATCAGGGATTTCAAGTATCAGGTCTATGTAAGACTAGTAGTTTTTATGAATCTAAAGTACCTTTAATTATGATCACTTATTAGACCTATAGGATTTTGTAGTTAAAATTACCAAGTAGCAACACTTTTCACTACCATCTCATTTATTCTCTTTAGTGTTGACATCACAAAGCTTTCATTTAAGGTGAAGCTTCCAAAGAACTTATGGATACAGTTTCTACAATTAAAATGTTTGATTTTAATCCTGACTCTACCACCTTTCGTTGTGTGACCTTGCAGAAGTTAGGCACTCTTCTTGTGGCTCAGTGATCTCATCTACAAAGTGAAGATCATAACAAACCTAACTTGGGTTGCTCTGAGAATTCAATAAGTAAGCAAATTAGGTAAAGTGAATGGATAGTTCAATGTTAGCCATTCTTGTTATTATTTTGGATTTGTGAGACCTTTCATTCTTATTTCTGGATTCATAGAAGGCCAGTTAGCAGTTATAAAGAATCCAGATTGGTGAATAGGTTGGTGAAGTAGTTATATTCCAGTGCATCATGCTGGGATATGTGGGTGAAGATGTGCAGTAGACAACAGATGGAAATGTTTGCATGGAATGCAGGTAAGACATCTTGGCTGTATACACAGGGTTAGAAGTCATGTTATTAATGTCGAGCTAGCATCTGATATATACTAGTTCTGCACTAAAAGAATGAGGGTGGTCAGAGAGTGTGTGTAGAATGGGAAGACCAGGGTTGAGGTGAGAAGCACTACCTGGGGGCACAAATAGGACTCTAGGTATGTAAATGCAAAGCCCCCAAAGAGAGGAGCTGGAGAGCTGCTTAGCCATTTGTACTCGCCTGTAACTGGCACAGCACTCGGCACATAGCAGGTGCCCCCATAAATGACTGAGTGAGTAAACCTGCACGTGGGTGAATCTATGGCAACAGACTAATCAGTTCTGCAGGATAAGAGAAGATACAGAAGAGAAATTTTTCCTTTGGAAGTAGCTCATATGCTGGTTAGCTGAAGCCAGGAAGTAGAATAATTGGAGGAGGATTACATTCCCAGATACAGATCTGAGCTGATTTTTATTCCAAAGATGATTTTGAAATCTAGAGATGTTTGAAATTTAGTTTGTCAACCCATAAATGAATGAAATAATCCATTAAAGGGGTGGAGGAAATTTTTCACTGCCTATTTTTTCTTATTAGAAAGGGTTGCTTTTCAACTGCATTTCAAGTAGTGTTTTAAAAATACTACTTGGTGAATTTGATGTAGAAAACAGAGTGGTTGAGTAATATTTATGCCAACACTTTT